ATTTCACTTGCATACAAACACTCAACAACTCCATAATGAATAAAACCTTTCAATAACTAAATACCATGCTCGAAAGCTTTTTAATCACGCGAAAAAAAAAATTTTTTACTGCTAAGGAAGATTATGCAACCACACAGAAGCCAACGAAACAATTTTTATTTGTTTGAATTTTTCTTAATTGAATTAATTCCAACATTTTCTTCTCCAACTACTAAGCTATAAACATTTCATCGCTATACATACTTCAACGGCAAAATAGCGTAACGGTTAGAGGCGCCTGCTTTGACGTCGGTTGCAGTTAAGTAACCGGGTATAGATGCAAACCTACACGCACACGTACACATATACATACACACACACACGCACGCACACACACACATAGATATATATCAGACTAAAAGATAATAAAATGCAATCAGCCAGAGGTAGTTTATAATCATAAAAGTATATAAGCCTATTTTGAGATCATTAAAAAATTCTAGTTGATCATGGTGTGTATGTGTGTGTGTGTGTGTAAGTGTGTGTGAGTCTGTGTGAGTCTGTGTATGTGTTAGTGGATATATTAGTATGATTGTGCCGGTTTGTAAATATATACATTCACAGGCAAGTGAACAAAAGTATGCCAGCATGTATGTGTGTCTGTATGTGTCTGTAAGTGTTTGTGTGTGTGTGTGTGTGTGTACGTGCGTGCGTGTGTGTGTGCGTGCGTGTGTTGTGTGATTATTTAGTCGTAATGTTGTCACACACAGAAGTAACTTTTATGATATATTAATGCGTATAATGTGTAGTTGAGAGAGGCTGCTTTTTGGGAGGAAGATAATTTGTTACAATGGGTATATGTTCTCGCCCTATTAGGGCTTTTTATTATGGCGGAATTTCCACCATGAGTATTCGAAATATTATCATTTATCATCATCGTCGTCGCTTTCATCATCGTCGCCATTATCACTCAGTTCGTCAGAGTTTTGCTCGTACCATCCTCGTCATCGTCATAATAATAATAATAATAATAATAATAATAATAATAATAATAATAATAATAATAATAATAATTTAAAACTTTAGTTTTTTTAATTCAAGAAAAAAATGAAAAAGAAAGCAGCAAGAAAATTGATTAACGAAACACAATAAATACATCCCAAGGTTAATCTCATTTAACCATTCTTCAAGATTCGTTTTTATTCGACCGAATAATCGCTGAGAACTCGTCAAGAACCGATTCTATTTAACCGAATGAATACTCGGCGGACGATGGTCTCGAAAATGGAGGAGGAGTCGGTTATAGTTTTTTCGGTAGTTGTTTTATTTTTACTCATCTTTTTTTTTGTTTCAATTATTTTTAAATTTTTCAAACTATTCTCTAAAATAAAATTCTTCTTTTTAATAAACAGCTCATAAAATGAATCGTTTCTACAAAAACAACAAAAACAATAATAATAATAATAATAACAAAAAGTATTATAACAACAATAAAAAACATTTACAGCAAGAACAACAACAATAATAAAATAATTACGAGATGAAATGAGAGGGGTTGAAAAGACGTCATCAAACGCAGATCAATCCGCTGTTAGTTGCGCGCTATATAATTTTATCGGCCCCCTAAAAAATCCATAGTCTTTGGTAATAACGGCTTCTTTCAATTGGAAGATGGATGTTTCCGAAGAATAAAAGTAAAAAAACATTTGATAATGAAAGCAGAATGTCCTATTTGAATTCAAAAATGACTTGTTTCACGTTGTTAACATCGCTACTTTTTATCATTATTGAAAATTATTTTCCAAATTTATAACAATTATTGATTGTTTCTATCATATAGGTTTGTTATATTATATAGACTTATAGATTGTTAATTCGTTACTTTATTTAACCACATAAATATATACATATTAAGTTATAAATATTTATAAATTCTTTCTTTCCAACAGCTGTTATAATTTGTTTTAACGTATAAATATATGCCGCATTATAGAAATTTGAGAGATATTGGTTAATGACGAATAACATTCGTGAAGTCCTTGTGTCACTTGTTGAATGTCACACTACGAAGTGTTAAAGATCGGGTTTTGTGGAGGTCGATGGTCACCAATGTCTTGAATGGATGAGGCTCAAGAAAGAAGACGAAGACTATAGATATTTATATGTAAAACAGTAGATATACTATTTAACCATATAAGTATTTGTTGAATTATAAATATTCATAAATTTACAACAGTTATAATATTCATTTATATAGCGTGAAATTTTAAGAAGAGGGGTGTGGCTGGTTGGTTTGGCTTGGCACTCATCATAGTTTATGGGCCGGCCATATTTTAAATAATTAAAAGTTGCCTATTTATTTTCCTCTGAGCTTGCCCATAGGATATAAATCAAATGTTGTTGCAGTTACATCTGATCACATGTGTGTCTGTCAGTCTGTCTGTCTGTCTGTCTGTCGGTCATTTTGCTTGTGAGTGTGCGAGTTTGTCTGAATGTCTGTGAGTTTCTGTGTGTTTATAAGTCCGGATATATTTATTAATCTACGGATTACGGAATGAAGCGAGGAATCAATGAAGATGGATAAACAACTATAATTTATCAGGATTGGTGAGTGAATGAATAAATGAATGAGTGAGTGAACGAGTGAGCAAGCAAAAGAAAAAATTAATGAATGTGTAAATGAATGACAAATCATGTTTAAGTATGAAATGATAGCCAAATAACAAACGCACGATTTTACAGAATCACGAACAAATGAACGAAATGAAACGAACAAAAAACCAACGAACGAACAAACAACAAACAAACAAACTAACTAACGAACAAACGAACGAACGAATGAAAAAACAAACAAACAATAGAGCAAACGAATGATGAAGTTTAAAAAACGTAAAAATAGACGTGTATCTATTGTAGAAGAGACTGATCGATATTTTACATCAACGCGCTCCGCAAAGGATTGTAGAAAATTTAAACTGAATAATAGGACGAAAAATAATAAAAAATAATAATAATAAAACATTAATAATAATAATAATAATAATAAAACAGTAATAACAATAATGGTAAAGTTATTTATGGCTGACACACACACTCCGTCATTAATATTCTGAATATGACGAGTCACGTGTGAATGATTGAAGGAAAGCGTTAATGGATGAATGAAGATGAATGAATGAATGAATGAATGAATGAAAAAAATACATGACGAATGGAGAGATGGATGAATGAATGGATGGATTGTAAGCCGCTGCATAAAGGAATGAATAAATCTTGTCGCATTGTTATTATTCATTATTTATTATTATTATTATTATTATTATTATTGTTATTTATTATTACTACTACTTAAATTAATATTAATGACACATGCACACACATTTGTACACATATACTAAAGTGTATTCACAACAGAAATAACCATTGGTCTTTTGATTCACTAACAATAATTACATTTCACTCATTCCAACAATCAATCAGTCAGTCAGTCAGTCAGTCAGTCAGTCAGTCAGTCAGTCAGTCAGTCAGTCAGTCAGTCAGTCAGTCAGTCAGTCAGTCAGTCAGTCAGTCAGTCAGTCAGTCAGTCAGTCAGTCAGTCAGTCAGTCAGTCAGTCAGTCAGTCAGTCAATCAATCAATCAATCAATCAACCAACCAATCAATCAATCAATCAATCAATCAATCAATCAATCAATCAATCAATCAATCAATCAATCAATCAAATCAATTAATCAATCAACTGATTGTACGTTCGGTTAATCAGGCTACCACATTAATAAAAATATAATAGTTTGATCGTTGGTAGCATTTTTTAGTTGTTGGTTGTTGTTTTTCGGCTGTTAGGATCACTAAATAAGATGGAAACAGGTGCGAAGAACAATTTTGTAAATTTTTGGGTGTTTCTTTGGTTGAACGGATAATTGACAAACATGTAGGCATACAAATATACACACACATACGCGCACACATACATGCACACATACATAAACACACAGACATACTTGCACACATGCAAACTTACACAAACATACATGCTGAAACAAACAATTTTCGCAGATAAAAATCGAAAAAACAGGTCTACTAGTGAAAAATTTACATACTCACAGACATACTAACATGCAAAAGAAAATAGAGACATGCATACATATAAACATACAAACAAACATACAAACACACATACAAACATTCATACATACGTACATACATAAACACGAACTAAATCACTTCCACTTTCCATCTTATTTAAACTTAAAACTTTGACAGTATGCCGAAATCGTTTGGGCGGGCATACGTTAAAGTGTGGAATGGAAAAAATAACAAAAAACTTACCGAAAGACAGAAACACAAAAAAAAACCAGAAAAGTCATAATAATAAAACCATGAAACAAATTATGTAGAAAAACAAACTACATCACGCACACACACGCGCACGCACGCACACAAACACACGCACACACACAGACATTCACACACTCACTCAATTGATGTCAGTATAATTCTATTTTTGTCATTTTCGCTAAGGTTATTACCGCAATATTGATGTGACTTA